TAATTCATCTTGTTAAAAGCCACTCCCTGTATAATCAAAGAAGGACAGTCACAATACAATCCACTTTGTTCTCAGATGGAATTTATTTTTTAGACAAGAAATGTACCAATAGACATGTACGCCAAATCTTTTAATTCAAGAAAAACATTTCTCCAAGAGGAAAGTTTTATTGGAGATCTTTGGTAGAAGATATAGATTGGAGAAGGGCTTGGCTTTTACCTGGAAAATACTGTATTTCCAATAAAGCTAAAGAAATACATTTCAAAATTTTACGTAAAATATATCCTGTAAACTCTAATATTTTTAAATATCTGGACATTGACAGTTCATGTGCTTTTTGTAAGCAATCAGAAGAGACATTTGCACATTTGTTTTATGATTGCCCAATATCCAAGCAATTTTGGTCTATATATTCGATTCGGCCAATGTTACGCATTCTTTCAGTCTAAAAGACATTATTTTTTATTATATTGATGATGAAAATAGACCCCTAGAGTATATTGTTAACTTCTTTATTTTATATGGCAAATTCTTTATTCATAAACAAAAGTTTGCAAATAATATTCCATCCTATCCCCATTTTAAAACTGAATTAATATCACTTCTTAAATCTCTTAGTTATATAAATAACAAAAAATCCCAAAGATTTATAAAATATTATGAAGAAATGTTTAAAGAAAATACATGTATTTAAAAGCTTTCCCTGTATATTAATGTTTGTATGTTATTGTTTCAATAGTGGTAATGTATGCATTCTTGTGTCTCCTTGTCTTGTCATCTTTTGTTTTTCATTGTTTTTTTGTATAATATTTTAGTTTTCTCTCTCTTTGTTTTATTATATGTATTTGTATGTAATTCCTTGACAATGTTCTTATGTTATTGAGCATTAATAAATTAAAATTAAAATAAAAAAATAAAAAAGCGAGGTGTGCTGTGATTGGCCAGCTATCCAATGCGTTGTGATTGGCCGAATACCTCAAGCGCGAGACGGAAATGTTACGCCCCTTACCATACTGTGATGCCGTGAGACAAAAACATTAAAACCCATTACAAACGAGGCATTTGTTGCATCCAGTGGGGACATAATTACTGATTATAATGACTTATACTGTCTTTTTACGCGTTGCGTTGCATTGCATCGCGCCGCGTAAACATAAAACTCTGTCTGCATTTGTGATCGGAGAAATGACAAACAACAAGTGCTAACGTTACTCCACACTGGCCAAAACTCGCGTTTGAATCATCAGTGGCAAATCCTTTAAATGAAAACGTACTTACGTGAGTCAGTCATTGTAGTCTAACGTAACTCTCCCAGGATCAGGAAACAGTCCTCCATAAAATGTGCTGCACACATCTGGATATTTGGGTTAAACTGTTATGGAACAGTGTTGTAAATACAACTTAACCACAGATTTCTAGTTGTGTCCTCTTTTGGAAGGCCAAACAAAGTAGTTTCGCTTTCACAACGAAAAACACAGCGGCCTAGCATGAGTTTAATACATTTTAAATAAGGTAATATGTAATCTGTAATATATTAAATTTCCAAAGTAACCTTCCCAACACTGACAACAAGTTATAGTGAGTAACTTATATTTTAGACGCTATTTCCAGTTACTCTGTCTTTTTTTGCTGGAGAGAATGCAATGTTTGAATCAATTTGTTTGAACGAATCAAATGATGATTCAATGATTCTATCAAACATAGTCACTTGTTGCCACCTACTGGCAATGTTACACGCAAAAGCGTTTAAAGACTAAAATATGGTGAACTACCGTACTGTATGTGGTAATAGCCTACATTTGCATATATTCACTGTAAAAATCATACATTTTGATGTGGACATTTTTGTTTAGCCTATATTTGCACATTACACATTTTTTACATATAATATTTGAATAAATATTACAAGTAATAAAAAATGTTGTTAAGGCTTCAAAAATGCATATTTAAGCATGAACATAATCATAAATGGATACTGAATCACGAATGCACAATAATAAATAAACAATGAACCGTAACTTGAAATAATGAAACTGTCACAGAAATACTGGTATTTTTAGTGTTTTATTTGACTAACTTAAACTTTGCTCTTGTATCAGAAAAAGAACATGCAATCTGGGTACATGTGGAAGGTCGTTCACAGTACAGTGACATCAGTCTGTTACAGTACATTCTTGTGCAAATACTCCTCTCACTAACATGTGGATACTGAGGGACTTCAGGGCCCTTTGCCATTAGAACTGGGTTTCTCTGAACATAGAACAGCCTGAGAAAGATATGTGCGGCTGTGCACGTTCTCTCACTGGCCCTGTGCCAAATATAGATTTTAATTGACACTACTGAAGCCTTCTGTATGCCCTCATAGCTTATCTAATACAGTACTTTTATACTATCAAATATCACAGGAATATAATTATTTCATACTCAAAATAGAAATTTTAGCTTCAATACTTCCAGCAAGTCCGCATTCTAAATAATGCACTTTTACGGCATTGTGATTCTTAATATTGCATTACATAAATTAAAAATCATGCTCATACAGATTAATACAATCCTTTAAGTATGTTTACAATGTACTTACAGTTTTGTTAATTGTGTATTTTTCAGGGCAAGTCAAACACAAACCCCAAAATTCTTGTTTAACATCATTATATTAATAACCAATAATTAATGTTTGTTGAACATAAATCATATACAGTGAAACCAATGTAACTTTTCAAGTCAGACTTCTCCACATGCTCTGCACTGTACATGTACAGCGCTATATACAGTTCAGAAATGAAAGTGCTTGAAACATAGCCTATGGCCATAATATATATATATATATATATATATATATATTAATATATTGACGATCACCATCAAATCACAGACGTGATGAATAAGTTCATTAGCTTTTCCACAAGCTGGGGTAAATACTATATATAGAAGGTAAAATAATAAAATAAATATACATTTAACAGCATGTAACATAATGTACATAACCGACAACAAAATAACTAAAAAGATACATAATGAATTTTAAAAAAACATCAAATGTGTGCTGTCAATGTAAATGTATGTTTCCCCCCCCACTGACTTGTTCTTGTCACTTGCAAAATCTGTACATTTAGCAGTATTTTGCTTTAAATAACCCATTTAAAAGAACATTGGTTAACCCATGAAATAACCCATTAAGTTTATTACACTTTTCACCATCTACATAGTAATGGAACTTACACATTTGAACAATTAACCTTAGCATTTTATAGTCTTTTACTGTTAAAATTGCAATCATTTTTACAGTGCAGATTTAATGGGATTGCAGGGAAAGTTACTTGACAACAGATAATATAAAGATGTTGCTTATCTCGTCTTCAAAATTTTTAAATAACTTCAAAGAGAAAAGTATATATGCTCTCATCTCTCTCTAAATCAATAGATCATCAAGTTCACTCAGATAATATATGGCCTGTTCATACTAAAAATCTTGCAAGCCGTTGCATCAGTCACGTATTAATACAATTAATATAGGCCATAATGAATATATTATGAATACAAAACATGGAACAGGCAGAATAATGTAACACATAGCCTACTATAAGACTGCAACCGTATTTCGCTTGGTCTTGTAGCTAATTAATTATATGTATGCAGTTT